TGGGGACCTTGTGGAGACGGCAGTGCCAAAGATGGCTAGGGCCTGGGTGCCTGTGTGACTCCATGGAGCAGAGCCCTCACACCGCCTCCAGGGAGCTCCTGGCTGAGTGAGAGGAGGCAACGCATTGTGTCAAGCATTAGTGCATCTAAGCACTTAGTCTATCCTGACTTCAACACTCAGCCACACTATGGTGATTTGGGACCTGCCTGTGGCTTTAGACCATTTGGAAGGTTCAAGAACCGAGGAAGTGACAGCAGTCAGTCCCCAAAGCCCGTCTCAGCTCAGACATTCAAGCAGCTCCCTGCTCGCTACTGCACAGCTCAGACACGGACTGCCCCAGGGCCCCCTAGGGGCTTGCAGTGCCAGCAGTGCCCAGGAAGACCTCAGAGTGCTGCAGGCTTCCAGCCCTGGGACCCAAGCCCTAGGCCAGGCCGCAGGGACTCTGTAGCCCCCCACAGTCTACAGAGGGAGAAGGTACAAGGGAGTGCAGGTCGCGAGAGTGGGCCGGCCCCTCTGTGTCTATGCCAGTGTGTGGCAGCCATGGCTACATGGCTGTGCAAATATTTATTGGTAAATGTTCTCCCTCACCAGCTGTTGAAGATGTAGTTAGGGAGAGCTGCAAGTGGGCTCTGTGTTTCTGGGTCAGCATTCCACACCCCAGTCTGAAGACCCTGCAGCAGGGGGGTCCCTAGCTCCTTCCTTCTGTCTCCCCCTCTCCTACCCTGTTTCTTGCACGCTCTCTCTCTCCTCCCTCCCTCTCTGCCCCTCACCTCCTTTCCTGCCCTTCTCTCTCCCCATGTGTCCCCTCCTTCTCATTCCCCCACCTTAACAAGCATTGACCAGGGAATATGCTGGTTGTACCAGGGAGACTGTCAGAGGAGGAGGGGCCTACCCAGCAACCATCTCTGTCCCCAGAAGAGCAGGAAAAGGGAAAGAAAGAAGGGAGGAAGCAAAGTAGGGGAGGGGAGTAGAGAGGAGGAATAAGAGAGGGCAGGCAGGAGGCAGGGTGGAAGAGGGGGATTGCACTGGGCCCCTGCAATGTGACTGCCACATGCTGTTCTCTTAGAACTAGAAGGGCCTGCATTCAGATTCTACTTAAGCCAATTACCAAGTTATGCAGCCTTTTAAATCTCTGTTTAGGCTTCTTTAAATGGGGATATTACTCGCAAGCTGTTAGTGAGGAGAGGATTAAATGAGATGCTGTAGGTAGAGCATCCCACAGCAAGTGCGTAGTAAAGGGCAGGTATTGGCTTTGACCTTGTCCCCTCTCTGGCCCCATCAGTCTTCCCCCAGTAGACTGTCTCTCTTCCACGTTTCCTCCTGGAGAGGCTCTTGAACAGGCAAGGCTGAGGCGAGGCAGCCATGGACAAAAGGAGAGTGGTTTCGGTGCTCCCACGGGTGTTCCCAGCTGGAATGTGATGTGAGCATGGAACCTCAGTTGCACTGGGCTGCAGAGGCAGTGTGGCCAGATGGTTATGGCACAGACCGTGAGGCCAAACTGCTAGGGTTCGAATCTTACTGCTGCCACTCAGGTGCTCCTTGATAAGTTACTTCATCTCTCTGTGCCCTTGTGCCCTCATGTGCAAATTAGGAATAATGATAATGAGGCTTTCCACATGTTCCCTGGCCACAGTGAGCACGGTGCAGGTGACAGTCCTTGTCTACAGCCTCGGAAGAAACCAGAGCAATGCTGCTGCTCTTGTTGGGGCTGTAGATAGAATAGAGACAGCAGGCACCCAACACCCTGTACCCTTCTGGACCATGTTTAAAGTATTCGGCACCCAAGACCAGACAGACCTGAGCTACCTCCCAGGTTTACAGAGACTTCTTTCCTGGGTCCAGCCTCCCAGGGAACTTCACCATTGGCCTGCAAACCCCTGAAGGTGGGCCACAGGGTGGCTACTGAAGATGTGGTGGAGGTGTAAATGGAGCTTGAACCTAAAAGCTGGGACTCCATGTCTGTACATGAGCCCCTGGAGGTATGGGCTAGAGCAGGTTGGTGGGGAACCTCCACCTATGCTTCATGCTTTGCCAATTTTAGGAGAGAGCCTGCATTAAGGTTTCAGCATCCATCTCTAGCTGTCCAACCTCTAGCGGCAATTTGGCTGATGATAGTCCTCAAAGGACAGTGGAACTAGTATGGGTGAACAGATGGCCAAAGACCAGCCAACCTGCATGGATTCCTTGACAGTCCTAATGGTGAGGATTTCATGTGGGGTTCCAGGAATAAAGATATCAGAGATTCAAGATTCCAGACCACAGGGCTGAACTCAGCTCCCCCGGCTTTGGGAGACAAATGCCTGAGACCTGGGTTCTGAAGCTCAAACTGTCAGATCCCCCAAAGTTAGCCTGGTTGTCAAAGAGTCTGGATTGCAAGAAGCAGGCTCCATCAGAAGTCCTCAAATCTTGCAGAGTTTGTGGTGAGGATGTACACGGGAGTAAGAAAAGGAGAATGCCAGCCACCGAGCCGGGCTTGCAAGGTGCTCTGGAGAAGCTGAATGGGCAGGCTCAGGAAGGAGCCAACCCCAAGGTGAGCCAGGCCTGGGGAGGAGAGGGCAGACGGCTCTTCAGATGTGAGGGTTCTGGGGCTGAGCAGCGGCAGACAAGCATGCTCACTATCGTGTCTCTGTTCTTCTCCATGTGTTGCCCTCTCCGTGCCTGTCCACTTCTCTGCCTCCCTCACCTGGTTCCCTCACTCTCTGCTCTATGAGGCTTCTCTCTGGCTCATGGCTTCTGTGTTCTCAGAGCTGTGGCCCACCCATGACCCCTTGCACTCCCCTACCCAGTCTCTGTTTACCTTGTGACTCTTAAGTCTCTGTGCTCACTGCTAACTGCTCTGTTCTTTTCATGTTGCTCAAGTCATTAATCTTTGGAGAGAAATTTCCATGACAGGCCAACTCATTGGCCAATGGCCAGTCTGTGGATTGCGTACTCCTGGGTCAGATGCCTATCACTCACTCAACTGTGGTCAACTTAATGTGGTCATTCTGTGATGCAGAATATGGCTGTGAGAGCAGGTTCCCTGTGACAGGGACAATAGGCATAGCAAATGCCATAACAGATCTGTTTACAACAGTGAGGGAGGGAGTCTGGGGTCATGAACCCTTCCCAGAGTTCACTCACCTGACTGCCTGCCTGTTCTGCTCTCTGTCTTATAGACCATCCCCTGCCCCCCTCCCCAGGCTCACCCTAGGGCAGGGGAGCAGGGCTGTCTACAAGTAGGCACCCAGGAGGATGTGTGATCCACACAAGGTCTGAATCTCTTTCCCTGTTCCCTTCTCCTCCTAGCTTTTCCAATAGCTTCCGGATGTAAGTACTCAAGTTGACTTAACTTCTTTTATAAATAGCAAAATCAACAATGCTCCAGCAAATAATTGATGAGTAACTTCTATAGGGAAGCGATTCTGCTAAACAGTGGAATCTCATCTGAAGCTGGTGGAAACCAGAGCATGAGAATATTAAACACAAATTATGTTTTATTATTCACTTTCATATACATCTCATTTGATCTTATCAACACCATGGCAGAATCAGTAGGGAAGGTATTACCATTGTACTAAATTGGTGGATGAAGAAACTGAAGTTCAGAGAGGCCCAGTGACCCACCTGGGACTACAAGGGAGAGTAGAGGACTCAGTATTAGACCTTGGTTGTAGTACCTCCCCCCGGGACTCCAGAGCATCCCTTGTAATGTGGAACGAGAACCATTTCATGCCCAGGATATTTTTCTGTATTGTCTGTATCCTCAGACACATGGTTGTCACTGACACTCCTGGTTTTGTAACAGGATACCATCTCTTCTTCAATGCATGTGGTGCCAGAGATACCTTCCTCCAGCACTAACTTCCCAGGCTGGGCTGGGATTCCTTCCCAACCCCCAGAAATTGTTTAGGCCACTCAGATCTGTTGCTATTACAGAATACCTGAAACCTTAATTAGTTAATTGATATTTTAAAAGGGACTTATTTCTGAGCTTCACAGTTCCTCTGGCTGAGGTGAGTATTATTGTCCCATTCTCTGTGCTCAGGGCAGCACCCCCAAACCAGAAAAGAAGGCCCACACACAGTGGCCGGAAGGACACACTATCAGGTTCTCTCCACGCTCTTGCCAGCATCTAAATCCTCAGTCCCTGTCCCGTGAGCCATTCTAGTAGCGGGGAGGGGGGGGAGCATCATGTTTTCATGACAGCTAGGGAGCTGATGTCTCACCTGGGGAACCCCCTAGCTCACACGCACACATAAACACCCAGAAACCCACAAAGAGGAGTTCTGCACCCTTTCCCCCTTAATAACAACAGAGCTACAGAGAGACCAGGAGAGACACAGAGATCAACCAGTGTCCACTGCCCCAGCCGCCCGGCCGCCCAGAGCTCCAGAGCTGCCAGGACATTTCATCAATGGATGAAGGCCCCAGGGCAGGGGGAGCTGCCCTCATGGGCGGGGCCAGGGTCCCCATGCCCTGCACCCCAGAGGAGCTGATGTCAGGGGACAATGGCTGCCTCCCTCTGTCCCTGTGTCCCTCAGCCAGAGTACCAAGGGCTGGGCCCACCCAGGGCAGGAAGTAGTGAGAGGGAGGTGGGGATGGAGGAGGGTGGGGCCCACGTCTCGCACCAGTCACTGGGCATGGCTGCTGTCCTGGCCTCCCTGGGACCCTCAGGGTGGGGCCATGGCCCAGAATCCCAAGCAAGGGGCGGGGATGACAGAGGGGCCCAGTGTTGGAGGCTCCCAGCCACCAGGAGCTGCTTGTGAAAAAGAATAAAGTGTCCATGGGAAAGAAAATGGCAGAAGAGTACATAAAAATTCTTCACCTATAAATCAGGAGAGTGCAAGGTAGAACCCGGTGCATGTGTGTGTGCGTCAACATGTGTGTGAGCATGTGTGTGTATACAGTTGTGTCTGCATATGTGTGTGTGACATCTGTGCATGTGTGTGCAGGTGGGTGTCCGTGCACGTGCCGTCCACAGACGGGGACAACGCTTGGACTCTGATTATTTTGCTGTGGGGAAGGGGGCTACTTGTGACCCTGGGTGGAGATCTGCAGCTGAGCAGGACCACGGGGACCTGCAAGACTCAGACGAGGCTGCTGAGGGATGCAGAGGCCTGGAGCCTTGGGCTGGGCCCGGCCTGGCTGAAGCTGTCCAGGAGGCAGCAATCCCTCCACATCTCTTCGGGCCCAAAGGAGCCCTCCTCTGGCTGCTCCCATCAGCTGGGCTCACAGAGAGGCCACTCCGTGTGCCTTAGGAAGTCCTGGGGACCTGCCAGCAAGGAGGTGCTCCAGGTAGACTCCGGGTGGGAAGGTACAGTGAGACCGCTTCGGGAACCTGCATGGTGGTGTAGTGGGTAACTCCCGTGTGGGCGCCGGTTCGTGTCCCAGTTACTCCACTTCCAATCCAGCCCCGTGCTGATGCACCTGAGGAAGCAGAGGAGACGACCTAAGTGTCAGGCTCAGCCCTGGCTGTTGTGGCCATCTAGGGAGTGAAGCCGTGGACGGAGCATGTCTCTTTCTCTCTGTCTCCCTCTCCCTCTCTGTGGAACTTGCCTATTAAGTAAGTGTCTTTAAAAATAAACAAATAAATAAATAGCCAGTGCCAGGTATTCTGTAGTAGCGACAGAATTTAGTGCATTAGGGAATCCCTGGTTTCCTTTCTCCCCTTTTCCTCTCTGCACCATTGCCGGGTGTCAATGCCCAGAACCTCCTGCCTGTCCTGCGCCCAGGTGTCTTCCCTTCCTCCTCAGGGGCTCACAGAGGCAGCGCCCGCCTGCCCCCATTGTCCCCACCTGGTCCAAGCCCTCACCAGGACAGCTGCCCCCATAGCTCCTGCAGCAGGTGCACACCTCCCTCCCCCCACTGCCCCTCCCATCCTGATTGCTCCCGGGTGCTTCTCTGATCTCCCCTCTCCCCAACTAAGAACCCAGCAGAGGCTTCCAGGGCTGCCAGGGAAAATGCGAACTCCTAAGTCAGCTCCAAGCCCTCCCTCCCCTATGCTCACACCCCACCATCTGGCCACCTGCAGTCCCTGGACTCCTCTCCCTGCGTGCCATCGTCCCCTGTGTAGGCATCAGCCAGTGAGCACCCTTGTATGGGACTCCAGGGGAGACGCAGAGAAAGCAGAAGGCTGGGCGTGGCCCGCAGGAGACCAGGACCAGCACAGGTGAAAAACAAGCTCCCCAAGAGCCCCACCCTGCAGAGACTCACACAGGCTGTGAGGATGACGCTTGGACCACCCCAGAGACGCCACATTCCTCATCCATGTCCACTGAGAGCAGCGGCAGCCCAGCATAGCTCCTGACGTCCAAATGCCTTGTGGGACACCGTGCACAGCATTCTCTCCACCTCCAACACTGGGCCCCTTGGTTGCCCCTGCCCCTTGCTTGGGATTCTGGGCCATGGCCCCACCCTGAGGGTCTCAGGGAGGCCAGGACAGCAGCCATGCCCAGTGACTGGTGGGAGACGCGGGCCCCGCCCTCCATCCCCACCTCCCTCTCACTACTTCCTGCCCTGGGTGGGCCCAGCCCTTGGCACTCTGGCTGAGGGACACAGGGACAGAGGGAGGCAGCCATTGTCCCCTGACATCAGCTCCTCTGGGGTGCAGGGTGTGGGGACCCTGGCCCCGCCCATGAGGGCAGCTCCCCCTGCCCTGGGGGCCTTCATCCATTGATGAAATGTCCTGGCAGCTCTGGAGCTCTGGGCGGCCGGGCAGCTGGGGCAGTGGACACTGGACGATCTCTGTGTCTCTCCCAGCTTCTCTGTGGCTCTGCTTTTGAAATAAATCGATAAATCTGTTGTTAAAATTGGGGATGGGGTGCAGAGGCCCCTCCTTGGTGGGACTGTGTGTGGGCAGTAGGTTGCTCTTGTGGTAAGTCATCAGACTCCCCGGTTGTCATTAAAACTCCACACTCCCCCTGCTACTACAAGGACTCCAAGGACAGGGACTGAGGAAACCAAGTGTCCACGAGAGCTTGGAAGGAACTGGAGCGTGCGTCCTTCCGGCCGCTGTGGGGACACGTGATGGCACGTGAGCATGTGGGGCAGCGTCCTAAGAGCTGGGAACTGGACCCACACAGCCCAAGGTTAGAAGCAGCCGCAGGTGTCTGAGGGGCGGGGCAGCCTGCCCACGGGCCAGGGAGTCCAGGGAGCAGTCTGCAGGGGCAGCTTCACGTCCGTTCCAGAGGCACATTTTATGTCAGCTCTCAGAGCTCAGGCACACAGCTAACTTCCATTACCCAGAATGCTCTCAACACACCAGTTTAAGGAACTGTACAACAACAGAAAGAATGAGAACAAAAGAAAGACAACCTACTTACTTGTGGCCTGAAAATACGGAGACACTGAGGGGTCTCATGGGATGTGAGGGTGCCATGGTAAACCTGCATTAGAACTGGGATCCAGATCTCCAGGGCAGGATCAGCCCCATTCATTCATTCCCCCTCTCTCTGCCCCGCCCCCAGCCCCTTCTCTCACCTCTCTGTCCCTTGGACTCCATCTCAGACACAGGCTCTCTTCCCAGGAGAGAGGGCTCCCACCATCCTGGCATTCACAGCCCCCACTGGAAGCCCTCCGGATGGAGAACTCTTCCTGTACCTGCGCCTCCTGCCCGGCAGAGCCCTGGCATGGACGCCACCTGCATTATGAGCTCATCCAGCTCAGGCACTGTGACCAGGGGTGGCCACCCAGGGGCTGTGCCTGTGTCCCCTGCCCTTCCTGGCCACGGGTGAGGGTGGGGTTCCATGTCTGGTTGCCCCGCTAAAGCAACATTGTGTAGACACTTTCTCTGTTGATGATTAATCTGGCTGTCACTGGTTCTGCATGTCCACCCCATTAGCACTTGGTCCCCAGCAGACTTTAGCCGGGTACGAGGGCCTCTATCAGTTTAGTAAAACACGTTCAAAACACGAGCAGATTATTTATCACCACACCCAATGGCACCAAGTTTGACAAAAGGCTGTGACACGTCTCTGAGGTCAAGCAAAACTCCTATACTTCACTGATACCAGATCTGGAACAAGAAAGAAACCTTGGTTCTTGGGGGCTGGTGTATGGCACAGTGGGCTAAGTCACAGCTTATGATGCCAGCATCCCATAATTGCAGGGCCTGTTCATACCCCGACTCTGAGCCAGCTCCCTGCTAAAACACCTGAGCATCCATTGGAAGATGGTCCAGTACCTGAGCACCTGCCACCTCCATGGGACACCTGGGTGGAATTCTAGGCTTTTCTAAAAGATTTATTTTGTCAATTTTAAGGCTATGTTACAGAGCGAGAGGGAGGGAGAGGTTTGAGTTTTCTTTCTTTTGATAGATTTATTCATTTCAAAGGTAGAGTTCCAGAGAAGCAGAGGCAGAGAGAGAGAGAGATGTCTTCCGTCTGCTGGTTCACTTCCCATATAGTCACAATGGCCAAGGCACCGCCAAGCTAAAGCCCAGAACCAGGAGCTCCGGGTCTGCTACTTGGGAGAAGCGGCCTAATTTTGGGGCCAACTTTCGTAGCTTTCCCAGACCCATTAGCAGGGAGCTGGATCAAGAGTGAAGCAGCCCAGAGTCAATCCAGCTCCCAATTAGATGCCAGCATTGCACTGGTGGCCTAACCCATTATACCACCGTGCCAGCCCCAAAGACTCCTGGCTTGAAACCAGGCTGTATGGGCCATTGGTACCATATGGGGAGTGAGCAGAGGATAGAAGATCAATTTCTCTCTGTCACTTCACCTCTAAAATAAATAAATCTTTAAAGAACACTGAGCACCAGCACTGTGGCATAGCAGTAAAGCTGCCGACTGTGACACTGGCATCCCATATTGGGAGGCTGGTTTGAGTCTGACTGCTCTACTTCTGATCCAGCTCCCTACTAACATGCCTGGGAAGGCAGAGGAAGATGGTTCCATTACCTGAGGCGTTGCCACCTGCTGGGGAGACCTGGAAGGAGTTTGGGTGCCTGTCTTGACACTGACCTAGCCCAAGTGAGGCAGCCATTTGGGTAGAGTGGGGCAAGTGAACCAGTAGATGGAAGATCTCTGTCTCCTCTTTTCCCTCACTGTATGTCTTTGTGTTTGTCTCCCTATATCTGTCACTCTGTCTCTCAAACAAATTAGTTTTAAAAATTAAACATCTAATAAGACATTTTCTTAGGAACTTCCTTTGGGATTTATACTGAATTGCATTATTGGTGCAGTGCCCACAGATTCCGCCCCCTTGTTTTAGTCCAGTGCAGACAAGATAGAATTTTGAGCAGCATATCAGCTACTGCTGTTCAGAGCTGGGGGACACAGAGTCCTCGGGGCCATCACATACCTCGGGGGAGATGGATTTTCTGAAACCAGGTGGGTCTAATAACCTAAATAAACTTTGAATTATATTTTTTGGGTGAAGTTTCCAAGTACCTGTGTTTTACATTATTCATCAGCCTTAGAAAACTTAAACCTTTGGGGCCAGCGCTGTGGTGTAATTGGTAAAACGACGACTTGGGGTGCGGGCATCCCATGTGGGCACTGGTTGGAGTCCTGGCTGCTCCACTTCTAACCCAACTCTCTGCTATGGCCTGGGAAAGCAGTAGAAGATGGCCCTAGTCCTTGGTCCCCTGTACCCACGTGGGAGACCTGGAAAAAGCTCCTGGCTCCTGGCTTCAGATCAGTCTAGCTCTGACCATTCTGGTCACTTGGGGAGTGGACCAGCTGATTGAAGACAGTTCTCCCTCATTCTCTGTAACTCTTTCAAACAAAAATAGTCAATCAAAAAATTTAAAAAAGAAAAGAAAACTCATACTGTATAATTAAGCATTTGCGCTCGTTGGTGTTGCTTGTGTGTTTTCTTGGTTGTTGGTTTCTGGGTCTGTTTGGTTTTTGCTTTTTCCCGTTTTGTTTAGTTTGTTGTTTTCCTCCTCGTTGTTGTTTTGCCCATTTGGCCTTTTTTTTTGCAGTTTTCTTTTTTTGTGCTTCCCCCACTCTAGTCAGCTAGCACGCTCAGAAGTATCAGTGTTCAAGGATTTAGTGGCTTTTCCTCTTTGTTGTTTTCTGCTTTATTGAGATAGTCTTGTGGCTTCGCCTCTAGAGCAGTGAGAGTAGCTGGTGCTGTGTCTTAGTCAGCTGGGCAGTCAGGCCCCCGTGGTCCCTTTGTGTTGTAGGCAGTGCAGTGAGGGTCGGTGATTACTAGCGTGTGTCAAGCAGGTTAGCGAGTCGAGAGAGCGCAGTTAGGTGACCGGCAGCATGGAAGGCCCCTGGGAAGTCCATCCTCCTCTGGACGGGTACGACTTCCTATATGTGCTCGGCTGGGGCGGCTTCGGCCTGGTGAAGCTGGCCTGGCACCTGGCATTGGAAAAGTTCGTGGCAGTGAAGATCCTCCCGCGAGACGCCTCTCCCAGCAGCCCGCTGTCCGCGCAGGGGGAAGCGGCCATCCTGAGGAGCCTGCGGCACGACAACATCGTGCGGCTGCTGGAGGAGCGGCACACGAGGAAGCACCTGTTCCTGGTCATGGAGCTGGAGGCCAGGGGCTCGCTCCGGCACTACGTGCTGCGGCAGGGCAGCCGAGGCCCAGGCCAGGGCCCTGTTCAGCCAGGTGCTGGCCGCTGTGAGCTACTGCCATGGCCAGCCCGTAGCGCACCGGGACCTCAAGCTGGGCAACCTGCTGCTGGACACGCACCTGAACGTCAAGCTGGCAGACTTCGGGCTGAGCCTGCGGCTGGAGCAGGGCACGCTGGTGAGGGGCTTTTGTGGGACCCCCGAGTACTGCGCACCAGAGGTTTTCCTTGGGGAGGACTACGACGCGGTTAAGGCCGACGTATGGAGTCTGGGGGTGGTGCTGTTTGCTATGCTGGCAGCCACGCTGCCTTTCCACAGCAAGGACACGGACAAGCTGTGGGACACGGTGCTGTCTGCCTGCTACGTGCTGCCGCATGCCGTCAGCCCGGCCCTGCAGGAGCTGCTGGTGTGGCTGCTCACCATCGACGCCTCGGGGAGGCCCAGTGCGGAGGACGCCAGGACCCACTGGTGGTTCAGCCCCGGCCCAGAAGCCGCCCAGGAGGACAAGGAGGACGCGGTCACCCTGCTGCAGCCCCTGGGCATCCCCCGGGACCCAGAGGCCAAGGACTACCTGGCGGGCCTCGGCCTGCTGCCAGGCATGGGGACCGAGGGGATGCCAGGCCCTCGGCCCCATGGCCCCACGTCCCTGCCTGAGTCCTCACAGAGCGGCGAGCACCACCCCATGCAGGACAACGGCTTGGCTCTGGTGTCCCGTGACAGCATGGCTGTCGACGTTTCCTCCACACGGAGCGACTCCACCAAGGCCTCCAGTGAGTCTTGCCCACTCCCCACATCCCCTGCCACTTCGGGGCCTCCAGGAGCTGAGCCCAAGGCCCCCAAGGTGACCCCATCTTGACTCTCTCCTACCAGGCCAGCCACCGCAGGAGAGGAGCCCTACTCCAAGCGCCGCCCCCGACTCCTCCCAAGTCTCCAGTGATTCTTGCCCACTCCCCACATCCCCTGCCACTTGGGGGCCTCCAGGAGCTGAGCCCAAGGCCCCCATGGTGACCCCACTCTTGACTCTCTCCTACTAGGCCAGCCACCACAGGAGAGGAGCCCTGCTCCCAGCACAGCCCCTGAGCCAGCCTCCAAGGCATCGCCCTGCAGCCCCAGTGCCGGGAGCCCTGTGTACCTCACAGAGCCAGAAGCCGCCTCAATAGCCCATGAGCCTGAGGAGCCTGGGACCACAGCCACCGCAGCCACAACTGACACCACAGCCAGCGCCCAGGCCAAGAGGCAGGGCCGGCGCGGGGTCAGCAGGAGGATCCTCCGGTTCCTGCTGAGGGCGTGCCGCATCCTGCCCTCCTGAGAGAGCGGCCCTGGCCACTGCTGCAGAGTGGTCCCCAAGTAGCCTCGCTCCGCCCCCGTCACCAGGAGCAATGCGCAGGCTGAGCTCACTGATCATTTTTCTCTTGTTTCTTGAGCATTTGCAAATGCTTTTCATGAATCAAGTTCACCTTTGTGTGTGGCTTTGGGCCCGTGTTATGTCTGGGTCCCTGTGTGCACCGTGGGGAGGTGATGGAGGTACAGGCGGGTGGCTCTCACGGAAAGACAAGCGCTGGGCGATCTCACCGTGTGTGGATCACAGAAGGGGTGACCTCATAGAAGCAGAGCATAGAGTGACGCCTCCCAGAGCCTGGGCCAGAGGAGGAATGGAGGGAGGCAGAGTCTCAGCATCCACGTGGCACAGGCACACGAGGGTCGGGGTCTGAGGTCTCTGGCACAGAGGGAGGTCCCCGTCTACAGAGCTGTGCCTGCAGCCAGGAGCCCAGTTGGGGGCTCTGGCCTGAAGCTTCTCCTGGCACCTGACACAAGTTCCCGACGTGGCTCTCGGGCTGGCCAGGCAGAGCCAGGAGGTGTGTCTGCCCCCAGGCAGGAGAAAGGAAGGCAGGACCTGGGCTGGAGACCAGGAACCATCTCCTCCATGCCCTCCCTCCCAGCTCTTCCCCCACCTGCTGCTCCTGCTCCCAGGGACAGAATGTGTCAGGGGTCTGAGGAGAGGGAGGAGAGGACTGTCTCCACCCTTGTTGAGCCCAGGATCCTCTCTTCACACAGTTTGGCCATCCTCCACTGCTGTCCAAGGCACATTAGCAAGGATCAGGATTGCAAGTAAAGCAACTGTACAGGAACCTGTGTCTAAATCACATTCCAGCCCCGCAGGCCAGAGTTTATATCTGCTGCAACCCAGGGCCTGCTTCTGGAAATTTCTATTTGGGATGTCAAGGACATTCTGGGTGGCTGCTGGTCAGGTCCTGGTGTGACCCCACAGTTTGCAACAACATAGGAGACAAGGGGACCTGAAGTTCAGGGAGTAGAGGGTCAAGGAGATTCTGCCGCATCACGGACACTGACCAACGCAGCCTGCCCGTGCAGTGCCTGGGAAGTGGTTTTGCGTCCCAGCTAACAAAATCAGGAGTCTCAACTTGGGCGGGGCTTCAGGATCTGACATTTCTATTCCCCCCTGCCCGTAGCAGTCTGGAGAGCAGAGCAGCTCCTTGCACCCTGCCCTCTCTTTTCCAAGGATGCTTATGTTTGGGCAGACACACAGCTACAATTCAGCTTGAACATGCTGTCAGTCATTGCAGACTCTGGGACAGAATGTAAATCACGTTGCGAGGAGGGAGATAGCGTTGCAAGCCGCATGCAAAAGAAATTTCAGTTGCCCATGGCGTTTCTGCTGGCAGAGCATCCTCTGAAATCAGTATGAACCAGGAGTTGTGACGTGAGGAGTTAAGCTGCCACCTGTGACGCCCACTTCCTCTAAGCATGCGAGACAGAGCCCTGGCTGCTCCTTGACCCATCCAGCTCCCTGCTGACGCCCCTGGGAAAGCAGCTCAAAATGGAACAAGGCCTTGGACCCCTGCCCATTATGGAAAACTGTGGGGAGTTTCCTCAAAAGCAAAAAATAAAAATCATCATAGGATGCAGCCCCTCACTTGTGTGTTCATCCCAATGACTTGCAGTCAGTGTGGACGAGTGCAGTCACTGTAGCAATGGGTACAACAGCCAAGGCACAGAACCAACCACATGTCCATACGCAGAGGAACGGAGAAAGAAACACACACACACACACACACTAATGCATAAACACACACAATCACTCAGACACACACACACACACACACCTATGTACATATACACACACACTCACACACACTGTCACACTCACATACACACTCACACTGTCACACTCATGCACACACACACAGAGGAATAGTATTTAGCTTTCACAAAGAAAGGAATCATTTTCCTTTATTTGGGACAAAGTGGGTGCACCTGCTGGACGTTCCACTGAGCGCACACAGACACCAGTAGTGCCTGGAATTCCTGGATCTGTGGCCTCGGGCACTCAGAGCAGCTACAGGAGAGTGGGATGACTGGAGACTACAAGCTTAAATGTGGCTGCATCCGCCCAAACAAAATGGGTGAGAAAACACAGGACAGGGTCCACGGAGCCTCTTCTGCTCTTGCGAAGACAGCCATGGGACTGGTAGATGGGCCTCGGTGAGCATGTCCAGGGTGCCACTCGCCAGCCCCAGGAGCAGGGCTGTGTCCAGGGTCAAGGGCAGAGACACAGGGAGCAGTGCTGCCTCCACTTTCGGACGCGAGGAGCTCTGCACTGGTGCCTTGGGATGAGGTCACGCTCAGGGATGGTGAGGCTGCACCTGGGGTCATCACTGTGAAGAGGGCTTCTGGGCTAAGGCCAGGGGAGAGGGCCACCTGCTGCTACACCACGCCCCCAGTGCCGACACATTCTGTCCCTGGGAGCAGGAGCAGCAGGTGGGGGAAGAGCTGGGAGGGAGGGCATGGAGGAGATGGTTCCTGGTCTCCAGCCCAGGTCCTGCCTTCCTTTCTCCTGCCCTGGAGGCAGACGCACCTCCTGGCTCTGCCTGGCCAGCCTGAGAGCCACGTCGGGAACTTGTGTCAGGTGCCAGGAGAAGCTTCAGGCCAGAGCCCCCAACTGAGCTCCTGGCTGCAGGCACAGCTCTGTAGACGGGGACCTCCCTGCTGTGCTAGAGACCTCAGACCCTGACCCTCGTGTGCCTGTGCCATGTGGACGCTGAGACTCTGCCTCCCTCCATTGCTCCTCTGGCCCAGGCTCTGGGAGGCGTCACTCTATGCTCTGCTTCTATGAGGTCACCCCTTCTGTGATCCGCACACGGGTGAGATCTCCCAGCGTTTGTCTTTCCGTGAGAGCCACCTGCACGTACCTCCATCACCTCCCCAAGGTGCACACAGGGACCCAGACATCACACGGGCCCAAAGCCACACACAAAGGTGAACTTGATTCATGAGAAGCATTTGCAAATGCTCAAGAAACAAGAGAAAAACGATCAGTGAGCTCAGCCTGCGGATTGCTCCTCTTGATGGGGGCGGAGCGAGGCTACTTGGGGACCACTCTGCAGCAGTGGCCAGGGCTGCTCCCTCGGGAGGGCAGGACGCAGCAGGCCCTCAGCAGGAACCGGAGGATCCTCCTGCCGACCCCACGCCGGCCCTGCCTCTTGCCCTGGGCGCTGGCTGTGGAGTCTGTGGTGGCTGCGGTGGCTGTGGTCCCAGGCTCCTCAGGCTCACGGGCTGCTGAGGCGGCTTCTGGCTCTGTGAGGTGCACAGGACTCCCGGCACTGGGGCTGGAGGGCGACGCCTTGGATGCTGGCTCAGGGGCTGCGCTGGGAGCAGGGCTCCACTCTTGCTGTGGCTGGCCTGGTAGGAGAGAGTCAAGAGTGGGGTCACCTTTGGGGCCTTGGGCTCAGCTCCTGGAGGCCCCCAAGTGGCAGGGGATGTGGGGAGTGGGCAAGACTCACTGGAGACTTGGGAGGAGTCGGGGGCTGTGCTGGGAGCAGGGTTCCACTCCTGCCGTGGCTAGCCTGGTAGGGGAGAGTCAAGAGTGGGATCACCTCGGGGGCCTTGGGCTCAGTTCCTGGAGGCCCTGAGGCAGGGGGAGGGCAAGACTCACTGGAGGCCTTGGTGGAGTCGCTCCGTGTGGAGGAAACGTTGACAGCCATGCTGTCACGGGACACCAGAGCCAAGCCGTCATCCTGTATGGGGTGGTGCTCGCTGCTCTGTGAGGACTCAGGCAGGGACGTGGGGCCGTGGGGCCGAGGGCCTGGCGTCCCCTCGGTCCCCATGCCTGGCAGCAGGCCGAGGCCCGCCAGGTAGTCATTGGCCTCTGGGTCTCGGGGAACGCCCAGGGGCTGCAGCAGGGTGACCGCGTCCTCCTTGTCCTCCTGGGCGGCTTTTCGGCCAGGGCTGAACCACCAGTGGGTCCTGGCTTCCTCCGCACTGGGCCTCCTTGAGGTGTCGACGGTGGGCAGCCACACCAGCAGCTCCTGCAGGGCCGGGCTGACGGCATGCGGCAGCACGTAGCAGGCGGACAGCACCATGTCCCACATCTCGTCTGTGTCCTTGCTGTGGAAAGGCAGCGTGGCTGCCAGCATAGCAAACAGCACCACCCCCAGACTCCACACATCGGCTTTAACCGCGTCGTAGTCCTCCCCAAGGAAAACCTCTGGTGCGCAGTACTCGGGGGTCCCGCAGAAGCCCCTCACCAGCGTGCCCTGCTCCAGCCACAGGCTCAGCCCGAAGTCCGCCAGCTTGACGTTCAGGTGCGTGTCCAGCAGCAGGTTGCCCAGCTTGAGGTCCCGGTGCGCCACGCGCTGGCCATGGCAGTAGCTCACAGCGGCCAGCACCTGGCCAAACAGGGCCCTGGCCTGGGCCTCGGCTGCCCTGCCGCAGCACGTAGTGCCGGAGCGAGCCCCTGGCCCCCAGCTCCATGACCAGGAACAGGTGCTTCCTCGTGTGCCGCTCCTCCAGCAGCCGCACGATGTTGTCGTGCCGCAGGCTCCTCAGGATGGCCGCTTCCCCCTGCGCGGACAGCGGGCTGCTGGGAGAGGTGCCTCGCGGGAGGATCTTCACTGCCACAAACTCTTCCGACGCCAGGTGCCAGGCCAGCTTCACCAGGCCGAAGCCGCCCCGGCCGAGCACATATAGGAAGTCGTACCCGTCCAGAGGATGGTCTTCCCAGGGGCCTTCCATGCTGCCGGTCACCTAACTGCGCTCTCTCGACTCGCTAACCTGCTCGACACACGCTAGTAATCACCGACCCTCACTGCACTGCCTACAACACAAAGGGACCACGGGGCCTGACTGCCCAGCTGACTAAGACACAGCACCAGCTACTCTCACTGCTCTAGAGGCGAAGCCGCAAGACTATCTCAATAAAGCAGAAAACAACAAAGAGGAAAAGCCACTAAATCCTCGAACGCTGATACTTCTGAGCATGCCTGCTGACTAGAGTGGGGGAAGCACAAATAAAGAAAACTGCAAAAAAAGGCCAAATGGGCAAAACAACAATGAGGAGGAAAACAACAAACTAAACAAAACGAGAAAAAGCAAAAACCAAACAGACCCAGAAACCAACAACCAAGAAAAAGCACAAGCAGCACCAATGAGCGCAAAGGCTGGTTAGATGGGTCCTAGTTACACAGATCACAAAAGAGTGCTCTCTGGGTAAGGGGGACGAAAACCTAGGCCCCGCAGTGCTATATATACTTTTGGGGGGCTCACCTCACATAGTTGCGCCTTATGAAGTCAAAGAGAGAAATTGACCAATGGGAGCTGTAGTTCATCCGCAGTGGTTTTCTCAAGAATGTTCAACTTAAATACAAATGAACTGAAAGGGCTTTTGCCTTAGCTTGGTGATAGGGATTGATCCTTACTGTTTGAGAAATTCAAACCTGTAGGAGGCCTCAGTGGCCTTCTCATTTCTAGTTTAAATATGATGTTAAGTTGTGTCTTTTGGAGACCTCCTAGTGTCTCCACTTAGTATATCCCCTCCTTTCCTTTACCCTCTGAGTGATGGGTCTCAGAGTGATGGAACAATCTCTCTGGCCACGGTAAACTCAAAAGTGTTCTGTTGCCCAAGACACCGCCAGCTACACTGTCCGCATCTCCAGAGCTGAGAGGAAGGTGACTTTGTCACCCTTTCCCCCTAAGTCGTGGTCAGATTTCTTGGCAGAATCCTTGGAAGCCCAGAAGGTAGTGGGGTGTCTGCAGTCCAAACAGGGAAGGCCCAATCAGTGGCAGCCAAGAAAGCTACAATTCAAAACTGTCCTTGGCCTGTTAGGGAGGAATGGAGGCTCTGCAGGGCACTTGGGGTTTTTCTCCTACTGTGACAACAACAACCAAAACTCCTAACTCCTGGCTTCAGCCTGGCCAAGGCCTGGTGGTCATCTATGGGGTATATCCATTCATGGAGGAGCTCTCTCTCTCTCTCTCTCTCTGTCTCTCTCTCTCTCCCACTAGCACTCTCTTTCCCCTCTTCATTCTCACACAAATAGAATACAACTTAGCAAAAAAAGAAGGACTCTCTCCTTCACCTTCTCAGGACCTACACCTTCCTTCCGTGTGTATATCGGCCCCACTCTTCCCTATCCAATTTCCTGGCCTAAAGGTCTAGCACTTGGGGCCCCTGGGGAACTGCCAGCACTTTCTTTACTCACACTGAGGCATCTTCTTGCCAAGAGCCCTGTTCCTAAACGCCAAGGCTACTGAGCAGCAAGCGGCACTGGATTCTATCTGAGTTCTATGCAGGAAATTTCATTGGAACTCCACGCCTCTTGCTGGTGAGGTGCATCATGGGATTTCTTTACCTTCTGAGCTAGAAGAAGAAACTTACAGATCAAAGCCAAGACAGGGGCAGGTGTTGGTTTAGCCCTTGAGATATCGCCTAGGATAACAGAATGGCTGGGTTCAAGTCCCAGTTCTGCTTCTGATTTCATCTTCCTGCTAATGCACATTTTGGTGGTAGTGATGATGGCTTGAGTAGTTGGATCCCTGCTATCCACATGGGAGAACTAAATTGAATTCCAAGCTCCTGGCTTTGCACAACCCCAGTCTAGATGTCTGTGGTGGATTGAAATCCGTAGATGGAATCTCTCTCTCTTTCTCTTTCTCTTTCTCTCTCTTACTCTCTCCCTCCCTCCCTTCCCCCCTCCCTCCCTCCCTCGCTCTGAGATAGATAGATCGATAGATAGGTGACAGAATCTGAGCCAGGTCTTAGGAGAGAAGACAGGAAAGGTGGAACATACGGGAAATTCTTATTTAATTTCTTTATACGACTAGGAAGAGAATGCAGAGGAGGAAGCTGGAGCTCAGCCTGCCTTGAAGTGAGGAAGGTGGGTGGAGAAGTCCCCCTTAGTCAGAGCCTGGTAGGGAGCCAGGAAAGCTGTGGCTGTAGCTGATTGATGTTCCAATGGTGACTAGGCTAGAGACAGAGTCGTGCAGCCTAAGCGTGTGAGCTATGCATGTGTGTGCACGTGTGTGTGTGCCCGGGGCCTTTGCGTTTCCTGAGCAATGTCCAACACGCCAGGCATCCGAATGCTATCAAGTGTTCCTTAAGCATCTCCTCGATGGCATCGGTGAAGGTTAATAAGGTAGAGGTTGATAGAGGTCTCAGGTTCCCATAAGGGGCTGCAGAGTATAGATAGATAGATGGATAGATAGATAGATAGATAGATAGATAAATTGATAGATAGATAGATTGATTGATAGATAGATAGATACCAGGGTAACCAGGTTTGAGGACCATTGTCAGAGGGCGTTGCACTCATCTGTGCAGTTGAAGCTGCATTCCAGGCACACATAGGCCTGGAAATGCACCTGTGGCTGCCACTGGTATTTCACTGGAAAGAGTGTGGTCATAGTGCAGAAACCCTTCTTTGTAACACTATGTGGTCAGTGCTAAGATCCTTCCTAGAACCCAAAGGATGGGGCATCTGGACAGCTCCAGGCAATCCAGAGATGTCCCCTTGGAGGCCAGGGCCCTCCATAGCTGTGTATGACTTGGGGAGAGCTTGGTTTGTTTATCTCCTTAACTTCCAGCTTTGGTCTCCTCATCCACAAAATGGAGCTAATGACTGAAACTGCCTCAGAGAGCTGTGAGGATTATGCAAGATGAGTCTTGCAAAGTAGTTAGCACAGTGCCTATCCATAGTTAGCACTGCATAAATAGGAGCTGTGCTGCCACTGTTATTTTCTGGGGTAAGTGAGGACTAAGCAGATTGGAAGCCTTTGTGGGGCTGAAACACGGCCAGGTCTGGGACTGGATTCCAGCTTCCTCCTGCTGGTTCCTGAGGGTGGTGAGGCAGACTGATGCAGCTGAGTGGTGGAGGAGGAGGTGGCAGTGGTGGGGTGTGCGTGTGTGTGCGTGTTGGGGCGCAGGCAGTAGGAATGGCAGAGTCCAGGCATTTAGGAAGAAGGAGAACACGGTGATGCCTGCTTTTGTCCAGAATCTGACAGCAGAGATGATCTGACTGGACTTGGCCTGGCCTCCCTTCCTGCCTCCAAGGCGATGGTGAACCCTCAGGACCAGGCGGGGGTGGGAGGGCACCTTGAGCTCATGCTCCCTTCATGTTTGCAGTGGGAACAGCTGAAATCAGCTGGCATTTTGTAGCTCTGACTTCATTTGCAATAAGACTCGATCTGAACTACTCAATCCTTGTCTCTCTCTCTCTCTCTCTCTCTCTGTCTTTCCCTCCCCCACTCCAGACAAACATGTCTCTGTGTTTTCTAGTGTCTGCCTTGTGCCTGTGCTGTTTTCTGGAATATGCCTCTCTCCTTGCAGAGCCACAGGGTCCAGCCGTGCCCTTCAATTCCCACACTTTTTCAGCTCTAGAATTTCTCTCCTTCCTGCCCTAAAATGAAAATGAACAATATTGTGCACAGGAAGAGGAAGGCTCAGGTAAACAAGATCTGAGTTCAGGGTTTGTTATGCATTCACCGAACCTCAGTGGTAGACACAGGAGCTCCTGGAGGCCCCCGGCACCTGCAGTGGGAATCAACAGCAGAACCACCCTGCTGGACACCTATTGGAGGCCCTGCAGGTGGCAGCCCCGAGGGGAGCCACCAGAAGACTGGATGCCTCTCAGCTCATACCTAAGCTCATTGATTGCCCCGGGTCCAGACGAAGCTGGTTTTGTTTCCTTTCTGTTTACTTATAAAGCTATTTCAGAGTCCATGAGAGAGCTCCAGCCTGCTCAGACACTGCTCCCACCTCTGACAAGTAAAACGGTGGTGGCTCCCTTCCCTCTCTTCTCTGCTTCTCCCTCCATGCGGTACCCCCCAGACTGTAACTGTCACTGCACCAGTAATAGCCATGGAGCATTTGCGGCTCTCTTCTCAGTCAAAACACCTTGTCCCGGTTCCTCCCTCCCTCAAACACCTGCCTGTCAGCCCTTTTCAGAGAGTCATTTTCAAAGATTCACAAACTGGAGAAATTTGGAGGTGGGGTGAGGCGAGATCATTTATCTCTGTCTGTCATAGCAACTCTCCAACCAAATAAAGAAATAGAAATCGTGCTTCCTCGCGCCATCTGTGGTCACAGCAGCCAGCTCTGGGAGGAGGGACAGCAAAGCAGAAGTGAGGTATGGGGAGCGAGGCTGCGCTGCGCCCAGGCCACTTGTGCACCTGCTGCAGGTCACAAGTGCTCAGAAAACCCCTGCTAGATTTTTCAGCTGAGGGATAACATCTCCCTTGTGAAGTGACTCTTGTTAGAAATTTAGTGGAGAGGGAGCTATGTGTAGAGGGCAGCACACAGCACACAGGAGCCATCCCCCCTGGAGCTGAGAGTCTGATGGGAGAGAGGCAAGCACATGATGGCAAGTGACTGTGCACAGTGTCAGGCCTCAGACAGTGGGCGTGCTTGACCCAGGGCAGAGGGCAGAGGAGTTTCCCCAGCTGACAACCCAGCTGAGGCTGCAGGAGGAACCCTGGGAAGAGCCAGCCAAGCAGTCAGGCAGACTTGCAAAGACCTTCCAGTGCATTGGATGGGGCTGGTGGGCAGAACAGAGGTGGAAGAGCCATCAGCCTGGTTCAAGTGAGTGCCAGGGGGCATCAAGAGACCAGAGAAAGATAACAGGCTGTTGAGACGTCAAATTAATAGGACTTGGTGAGTGACAGGGTGTAAGGAGGAGAAGCGGATGCTGATGGACAGCACGGAAAACCATGTAAATGAAAAGTGTCACGGTTTGAGTCAG